TCCTAACTTTCTGCCTCTCTCTAAAATCATCTTCCACGTCCCTTTGTAATTTCTGAGATATATTTTTTGCCTCCCCTCCCACCTTTCCATGTATGTTTTTTTATCTCCCAGGTGCAGTCAGTTCTAGGGGTCATTCCTTTGCAGATCCTGCAAGTAATCTGGGTCTAGAAGACATTATTAGAAAAGCATTGATGGGAAACTTTGATGACAAGAGCGAGGATCATGGAGTTGTAATGCCACAATCCATTGCAGTAGCACCTGGCAATTCCAGTGCTGTGGGATCAGCAAGCAATGAGACACGCAGGGAAGAAGCCAATCCATCACCCAATTCAGGTGAGGCAGTTCAGCTCCCACATATTTTATGATTTTAAAAAAAAAAAAAAACCAGAAAGCATTTCTAGCAACAGTGTTATTAGTGACTGTATCAGCTGCTCTTCTAGTTGTGGTAATTCAGCATTCCAAAAGGCATCAGCTCGTGTTTGGTGCTAAGTGATCATTTATAGGAACCCATATAGAGGCTAAAATGCAGCGTGATGCTTTTTGGAAAACGTGTCCCTTCTATTTCCAGGAGGGGGAGTCAGCAAGCAGAAGTTAATTGGGAAATCAAACAGTAGGAAGTCCAAGTCTCCGATTCCTGGACAGGGGTATCTGGGAACCGAAAGACCTTCTTCTGTCTCATCTGTGCATTCGGAAGGGGACTACCACAGACAGACTCCGGTGTGGGCCTGGGAAGATCGGCCTTCATCAACAGGTGAGACATGCAGCTTTTCTGTCAGCTTGATGCACTAGATAATCCACTGCTAATTGTGGAGCAGTCAGACGCAGACACAGAGCTCTGCTGTGTGTTCATCAAAAGATTGCAAGCGTTGTCTGAAACTGATTTTTTTCTGATAGTCGTCGCGACCAAAGCCGTGCTGTCTGTGAATGTGAGCTCTGATAACTCCTCAGAACAGCTCGTGTTTGACTTGCAGATACTCTCTCATCCAGGTTCCACGCAGTTTCCTTACAACCCGCTGACAATGCGGATGCTCAGCAGCACGCCGCCGACCTCCATCGCGTGCGCCCCGCCGTCCATGAGCCAAGCAACCACTCACCAACAGAACAGGATCTGGGAGCGAGAGCCAGCACCACTGCTTTCAGCACAATATGAGACTCTGTCTGACAGTGATGACTGAACTATGCAGATATTTTTGTTTTGTTTTTTTTTTTTAATTTGCGGGTCAAAACAAAAGATTTTATTTTTGACTTGTGCCCAGAGAGACTTTCCAAGAGAGCGAGGGCCACACAATGAAGAATTAATGGAGAGTCTGTTAAATGCCTTCAGCACGGCTGTGTGTCGGAGGATTGTGATCAAGAAGGTTGACTTACTAAAGATAAATATGTAAAAAGTTTTTAAAAATGTGGACTATTCCTGTTCTACATCTATTTGTAAAGAAAACCATAATGTCTTTAAATCATTCTTCTGTAAATAGAGAGTACTTTTTGCAGTGTTTTTTCCCTTGCTATAGTATCTGGTGTACTTATGTTCAAATCATTGCCTAAACTTTGGGGGTCATTTTGTAATTTTTTTTTAAAGCATTTTCTCAATGTAGAGTTACTCCTCATAACCGTGGCCTCCCTCCCAGCCTCCCCTAACCACACCAAACCTCCCAGCCAGCCCAGCATCGTTGCCCGTTTAATGCTGTGCCACTTCTTGCAGGCATTGTGCTTTCATATTTTCTTCCCCAGCCACACTTTCTCAGTGGTGTTCAAGCTCTTGTGAAGATGTTGATTTATTATTTTTTTTAAGACTGACCCCGTACTGAACTGTGTACATGAACATAGCAGCTCGCTGGAATAAGATGAGATATTTCTTTGAATTTTGAATTCTGCCACATTGTACATTTTTGGTGCAGTTGATTTCATTTAGCAACACTGCAGAAATATTATTGCATGGGTATGTTATGGTTAATTTTAAAAAGGATAAAAAAAAAAAGAGCAGCTTCTGGAGGCTGTACCTCACTGTTATGCACACTGGGAATTTCAACTGTGCCCCCAAAGCAAACCTTAGTGTTCTGTGTTTCTGCATTGTATGCAGTTGAAATAGGCTACTAAACCTTACCGTCGTGTTTAACCACAGCAAATGGTTTTCCTGGACAGAGGCTCTGGGTGGATTGATGATAAGTCCTTCAAGAAGGAAAAACTCTACATCCCAAGTTGAAATAAAAACAGAATGCTTTTATAGAATAATTGAGCAACACGAGTCAGCTACTTGACTTCTGTTACAGCAGTTTGAAATAGGTACTGTGATTTTTACCTTCCTTCAGACTGATTCTACAATCTTGATGTAACAATAATTTTGAAGCCTGTGTTCACATCCCAGTTCCTGACTTTATAAGAAAACTTAAAGGTGGAAGTCCTTACAAATGCCTGGCTGAACTCCTGAGGTGTGCAATACGTATCAGGGTGGATTTATTTTCTTTTTTTAATTGTATGTGGTACTGGGAGAGTTGTTACTCATCTATCACTGCCTGCTGTGCTCTGCTCGAGCTCCTGTGCACACCTGGTTCTGTTGTTACGGAGTCTCCTGGCTTCCATCTTCAGGAGCATCTTAAGCTTTGCTGCATTGACTTCAGGAAAATGAACTTGAATCTCTGGGGTAGAACTGATTTTCAGATAGCACGGAGGTGGGGAGTTGGATGGCCTGGCAGACTCCAAACTGCTTTTGCACCTCATAGACCAGTCTTTGCTTAGAAGTTACTTTCCAGCCAAAACATTTTAAACTTAACCCTGCATTTGCAATACATTTTATGGAAGGTGTAATGTAGCTGTGTAACCTGAAGCCTGTGTGCAGTTTTTCCATAAGATACAGCTTAATGGTCCAGTTAAGAACCAGTACAGAATCGCTATCCATAGCAAATCTACTTAAGCAAATTGCTTTATAGAGGAAAGCCTTTTTGCCATAGGTGTAGGAAAGAGAAATCAGAAGGGAACTCATTTGAGAACTTGACTGTGCATTGTAAATACAGAACTGCTTTGCTACTTTTTTTAATTTAAACACTGTATCAGAGTGGAGCAGCTGGCAGTCCCCACTCCCCTGCTGCCTTAAAGCACTGATTTCTCCATCCTGGTTTTACACCTTTTTTGTTCCCCAGCAAGGTGCTCTCCAACAAGTACATCTGCCTGGTTTGGAGCTTTTAAATTGGAACAGAGAGTTGAGTTGCATTCTAAAGTTCAGTTGTTTTCACTTTCTTAGTATAACAAATGCAACACAGAAGAGGCACAGACAGGCAGAAGTCTTTGCTGATAACTGTACACTACGTATAGCATGCTCCTCACTAATCTTTGTGCTGCAACAGCAAGATACCCAAAGGAGGAAAGTTCTGAGGTGCAGTGAGTGGTGTTTGCACATAAGCTGCTGCTGCTGCTTTTGTTTGTTATCCAAGTTCTAACCTCTCCAGTGCAAAGACCTCTCCAGAGCCTAAGTTAGAGTTAAACATAATTCCAGTGATCTTCACGTATGGAGTTACAGCTCACCTGTTTCACACAGGAAGGTGTTCATAAATCCCGTTCACAAACTGTGGTCTGCTACAAATTTTTAACTGATTTCTGGGCAGCGCTTTTGCAATGCTGTCATCTCAACCTCATGATTCTGATATGAAATCATTGAAGACTTGAAAAACCCTTGCATCGTATCTCCGGGGCTTTTTCCCCACACAGTGTCTCTCCAGTAGGCAGCAACTTCTGGATTCAGACCAATCAATAAAGGGGATCAGTTCTCAGTTTGATTCTCCTGTGTCTCCCTCTTGATTTGCAGCATCAAGTTGTGCTCATGAGAACTGGCAAAGCATTTCCCTCAGGGGCTGCTGCAGGGTTCCCAGCTGACACTGCTGGTATCTAAAAACAAAATCTAAATAAGAAAGAAAAATTGGCTCTAATGTGTTAGAGCCTCTTTGTTGGTACAAGTGTGCCTATAACATCCCTATCTCTTGTTTCCTAGCACGCTGACAGCAATGCTGTATGTGTGACTGTGAGTTCCTAGCTTCAGCAACACCTGCTCATGTGCTGCTTCTTAGCTCACGTTCACAAAGAGCTGGAGCCACTGCTAATGCTGCTGTAAGTAAATTAATAATGATGCAATTAAAACCAGGACTTACATTCTTATCTGAAGACCCTGCAGTTGAGCAGTTAAAATGATGATCAGTGACAGCTGCCTGTAGTTCTGCACGCCCAGATAAACAACAGTTTGGCAACTTCTTAATTTTGTCTTTCATAGTAGGCCTCCCTATAGGGAAAAAGTGAAAACTGCTGCTGTTTAAGCAGGCTGTTCACATGAATCCCTATGTAAGTGATAATTGATAAGCCTGATGCTTGTCACATATCATCCTTCCCAATAGGAAACCTCAGCATTCTAGCACCAGACTGTGTCCTGGCACAGGAAGAACTGGCATTTAGTGTGCTCTGGCTGCTGGAGTGAGGTAGTCAGAGGCTTTTATTTCTGATAGCAGCTCTGGTTTAGTAACATTTTTACTCTTTGGAGAAGGCAGGCTCTATCTTTGCACGCTAAATGTTCTGAAGATGCACACTTGATCTTCAGGCAACCTGTCTGAAAATAACATGAGGAGGCTGAAGCTCTGTCCTGATGTGGGTACATGATGGAAAGCATTCTGCTGCAGTTCATACATAGTGAACTGCAGCACTGATAGGTGCACCCTGCTATGCTGGCTGGCATGGAAAGAGTGAGAATTCCTGTCTTAGGTTGGATCCTCCTTCCTTAGTCTGAAATTTAAGTCGGTGCTGCCTCATGGCAGGCTGTTCTGTTTTTCACAACATGGCTTTAGGACAGACATGTTTTGAAACTGAATACTGTGAAAAGTCAGGAATAGCAAATGGCTGCTCCTTGACTAACTGCAGGTATCAGTAACAGGCTGGACTTGCAGTCTGCTGGCAAACTGCACTCACTAGCACAAAGATCCTGTATATTACGTTATTATACCCATAGATTACACCACAAATTCAAATACTATTAAGATTTCAGAACTTTATTTTGGGCTTAACAGTTAGGCAATAACAGCCCTTCTTATTAAGCTCTCCTTAAGTTCCCAGTTGCTGCTCCTCTGGAGAATTGTACCAAACTAGTCCCAGGCTGCCTGTATTCACCCACCATTGCTGCTGTTGGACTCTTTGGCCAAACTCACTGAGAGCCTTTTCTCCTCTTGGCCAGTTCAGCTAATTCTTCCTGGATGTGCCGGACAGAATCAGCATCTCCCTTCTGTTCTGCCTGTTTCAGAGCTGCTTTATACACTTGTTTTGCTTGCAGAAAGTCTTCTGTGAAAAGAGAAATAACCAGCCACATCCCCCACATGCAGAGGGCAAGTAAAGGAGCACCTGGAACACTTCTAGAACTGGGGTGATTTGGAAAACATTCAGTATCTGCCACCACTGGGGAAGCCAGATAGCAACTATAATGACGTGTCAAGGTGCTGCTTCAGCATCAAGGTCTCTGAAACAAATTACAAACGCCTTCTGTCCTTTTTGGAACAGCTGCTGTGTACAGGACAAGGCAAACGAGGTCCCTGTGGGTGACATTCTGGTTCACCTTGGACCAGACCTTCCAGCAGCTGACTCTGGTTTGAATGCAACACAAATTGCCTACCCCAAGTCAGCAGGCCCACAAATTAAACTAAAAACAGGAATGCACAAAAGTGACAGACACTGGACATTCATTCACTTACTTTTGTGCATCAGAATTGCTGCCATGTTATTCAGCACCATGTGCTCCTCAGGGTGTTGTGTCTCCTTTGCCAGCTCAGCTGCCCTCTTCACATGAGAGTATGCCTCATCATAGTGCCCTTGAGCATCCAGCACAGTTGCTAAGTCATTCATGAGCACCACAGTCTGCAGCAGGACAGGAAAGGAATCCTCAGAGCAAAACTTGTGTAGAACTTTGAGCCTACAGCAGCCCCCCATTCATATGTTACGCTAATAAAAGTGCTTCCCAGAGAAGCTTTTGGTAAGGAAGTACCTGTATATTAACGTGACACGTGCTCCCTGTTACCAGCAGAACAGTGCTGTCTATATTCACTGCCAGCAAAGCTGCTTTTAAGGCTACTGCCCTCCCCCATTCAATCCCTCACAGCCGTTGTGCCTTTCCTTCCTTACTAGTCTGACTCCCATTGTACACATTACCTGTGGATGAGTCTCTCCCTGAACTTCACTTGATATCTGCAGAGCCTTCTCGTACATTTTTTGGGCCACTGAGAGCTGGTTAATGTCTAGCAGATAGCGAGCGTAGGAGTCCAGGCTCATCCCCAGCAAGAGACGAGTGTTGGCTTTTTCTTCAGCTGCAAATAGAGAGGAAGTGGAAGTGAACACTGCAACATGAAGCATGAGTTCACCTCCTCCTATGAGAGCTGGAAAACCGAGCAGCATGAAGACAACGGACTGGCATGAAGATGGTGCTTAGGCAAGGACAGAGAAACAGGGAAAAGATAATGAAAGAAGCCTTTGGCAGTTGAGGCACTCTCACCTGGCAAGACATCCTCAGGCAAGTCCTTTTGCTTGGCAATCTTCTCCTCTAAGGTCAGGATGCAGAACTCATAGCCAGCCAGGGCTAATTTGTGCCTGCAATGTACAACAGCTCAGCAGTGCAAGGCTTCTTCCATCCCTAGAGGGATGGATGCGAATGCTTTCCTTATCCTATAAGACTTTACCCCTCCATTCTTGCCTTCAGTGCTCCTGGATTATGGTGCGCACCCTTCTGACCCATGTGCAAAGGGACCCAAGAGGGAGAAAGGAGCCCCATAAAAAAAAAAAAAAAAAGGGCCCACAGAGGCTGCCCCCCCTCAGTGCTCTCTTGTGAAAAAAAGAAACTACAAATCACTAAAAACACCAACTACATTCAAAAGCACGTGTTGCGAGGTGGGGATTTAAGGCTAGAGCACTGTGGCCTCTATGGCTGCTTCTGCCCTAAGCTGGGCGGGTTGTTACAGCAATCGCTGCTGCACGATGGTGAGCAGGCAAATCTGTCAGAACTTTCATATGATGGTATCTTATCATATCAAAGCTTCCTTAGGCACTCTGTTCTTAGAGGCACAAACCTCTGCTTGGCCACCATTACCACTGTGAAGCTGAGATTAAAGCAAAATATGCCTTTAGCAGAGAACTCACTGTTTCTGAGCAGCATAGATACTGGCCAGCTTGAGGGACATCTCAAGGATTGCATTGTCATCCTGCCAGGACACACAACGCAACTGTTACTCCTCCTGCACCTTCCCAGCAGAACCGTTACTTTGCCAGAGAACAAACTTAAGTCCTTCAATGTTGTTTCCCATCCTGTTTCCAGAGCAGCTTTCCACTAAAGGACATTCCTGAAAAGCTGGCAGGCTCACAGCTACTGCTGCCAGGTACCAGTAGAGGCAGAGCATCGCACCAAACAGACCAAAGAATTGAGCACAGCACTTCATGCTCCCAGTGAAAAGCCTTCACCAAAAGAACCCACCTCCTTCATGTCTCCTGCAAGCAAGTAGCTCATCGTTGCTTTGTAGAGCTTTTCTGCCTGAAATGAGAATGTTGAAGAATTACTGGAGGGTGAGGACAACACATCCCTACAACGGAAGACTGCTGGGAGGAATCTGCCTCAAACTCTGGCATTCATATTGCCACAATTATTATCAAGAGTGGTGAGAAGTCAAAGGCCAACCAGAGTCCGGTGCAACCGCCCGCTGGTCAGGACCCCCATGGTGCCCACAAACTTATCCCAGCTGGGGCTCTGCTCTGCTTTCCTAGGTTCTCCTCGGGCCAAGGATTGTGGCGTTCAATAGTAAGAAAGAATCCTTCCCTTGGATGTTGGAGCCCAACGCCCAGCTGGGAAAGCTTTGTTCTCAGCAGCACCACGAGACCGCAGGCTGAATGTTCTGCTTTACAGATCCCAGCTCTCAGCTGTCAGTCCATCCGGCAGGAAAACCAGCGGCCGCCAGACCCACTCACGTTGTCCAGCTGTCCCTGCATGAAGGCCACGTTTGCCATCTGGAAAAGACAGACAGCGCTGGAGCTCCGCAGCGGTTCCGGGCTCCCACGGCTCGCCGCCCCGGCTGGTTACCGTGCTGTACGTGTAGATGATGGCCCTCCTGTTGTCGGCCTGCTGCGCCAGGCGCAGCGCTCGATGCAGCAGTCGATCGGCCTCATCCAGTTCGCCCTTCATGGAGCTGAGCTGCGGGCAGAGAGCGGCACGGAGCGGCGGAACCCCTTTACCCGGCCCTCCCCTGCGGGGCTCCGTGCCCACCCGGCGGGAGAAAGCTGTCACCGCACGGCCGCCATTTCCGCCGCGCTCGGAGCCTCACCTTGGCCTTCTTCAGTAGGAGGATAATGGCGTCCTCGCCGTCCTCCTCGCCGTCGTCCCTGGGAAAGACGGAGAAAGCTGCGGGCCGGAGGTGACCGCCGCCTGGCCCGGTCCGGCCCTGTCCGGCCCAGCCCTCCCGCGGCCTGTTGCGCCTCACCTCCAAGGAAGGCCAGCGCAGCCCCGCCCGGCGGAGCCCACCGCCACCTGGCGAACCCCGCGCCGCCGCCATTGCCGCCCCGCTCCTGCCGGGCCCTGCCGTGCCAGACGGGCCGGGGTCGCGCGAGCCCCGCAGGGCAGCGCCAGGCCGAGCGGCACAGAGCCCGCGGCAGCGCCGCCGCCAGCATCTTCTCTGGGCGCGGGCCCTTTAAGAGCTCGCCCTCGTCACGTGACGGGAGTCTTCGCGTCACCGGAGCGGCGCGCTCCGTTGCCATGGCAACGCGGCTGCAGGTAGGCCCTGGCCCCGAATGGCTCCGGCTCGGTTCCCGCTGCCGGGATCTGGCAGCTGCCGGCGCTCCCCAGAGACTCCCGGGCTCCCCGGGGCCGCCCCGGGCCTGGGTCTCTTCCTGCCCCCTCCGCTCTCCCCCGCGGTGCGTTTATGCATGCGGCGTCCGAAAGGCCCGCCTGAAAGACCCCGCGCCTCGCGAAGCCCTTGGTGCCGAGAAGCGCCCGGAGCGCAGCTCGGGTTCGGCCGGATGCCTTTTCCTTGACCTCGTGTCGGGCTGGGACGAAGCGCTGTCCTGACAAAATGACCTTAATGGCTTCCCACCGCCTCCTGATCTCCTCTATCTCGCCCCCAGTCCGCTGGGCAGCGCTGTGGGATGGACGGCACCTTGCCGGCGGTGGCAGAAGAGCTTCTGAAGGAGATCAGGAAGGCTTTTCAGGAGACCTCCCACGGTACGTAAGGAGCAGCAGAGCCGTCCCTGCTGCCCGGGTGCTGGCACAGCCTCCGTAGCAGCGTCGGTGCCCTGCCCTCATCTGCGTCCTTTGCATGCTGTCACACAGCCGTGGCTCTCGCTGTTATTTGGGCTGTTCCCAGCCTTTGTGTCCCTGCCTGGAATCAACACAAAGGGCTCTGAAGTAGAGATAATAAGGAGCAGCACCCCTTTAAAAAAAAATAACACCCGGTTGGATGCTTTCCAACACGGCACTTAGGGAAATTCTGTCTGCCCAGAGCTGGCAGTGCGGGTGGTTGTGTCTGAGGGATGACCGTTTCCATGCTTCTGTGGGGCTTTTTGTCATGCCTACACGGTGCTCCTTTTTATGGACTCAAAACCAGAGTTGAAAGGGAAATCTTCCTAAACTTGATTGTGTTTCATCAGTGACCAGCAGAGGGTACAGCGTCGGCCATCATGTGGCAAAGAGCTGCTTTCCTATTGCTTAATTGGAAGAAGGCACAAGCCAACCTTGGTCTGTTCCAGCAGCCAGTTCAGAACTGTTACCTTCCTTGCATTCTGGATTACTGACACAGTTCTGCGGTCTGTGCTGAAAGAATATTAGTCTTTGTCACTAAAAAAGTCCTAAGGAAAGTGTCTGTGCAAGGAGTGCTTTTAGCTGTGCTGAAACTGACCAAATAAATAATCGGGGAAGTCTGGCTGAGTGCTGCATTGGACTGCAGAAGGAACAAAGACTTCATATCAAAACAGGGTGGCCACCTCAGTTGCTTTTTGTTGTACTTGTGTGGCTCTTGTCAGGTTAGAGGAGATCCAAAATGTGCATGTGACTTTTTAAAGAAGTTTATAAATCCCTCTGTAAACAAGGAAAAAGTCAGAGTTCCTTTCAAAGTCCACTTTTCCCTACAGCACCCAAAGCTGTGTGCTGGGATGTGACCGAGGGAGGAAGCTGTCAGCCTCTTTGGAGAAAAAAATCAGAAGAAAGTTGGAAAAGTCAAACCAACAGCATGAAGTCAGAGAAAATATTTTGAATTGTTGGAAGAAAGGGCTTTAAAAGTTAGGAGACCGATAGGCTTGTAGCAGAGTACTGAGATGTACACTGTGTCCTGCTGGTGATAACAGAAATAGCAGATTGGCTGATCAGTGTAAGCTGCTAGCTAAAAGAGACTGTGTGGGAACTGCTGAGTCACGGCCTGAACCTCTGATCACCTGAGGTGAGCCATGAGCCAGCCAGAGGAGCACAGCTGAAGGCAATTCACCTGTGCTGCAGGAAGGGGTGGAGCCTGGCTGCACCCCTCCTAGACCTATTGAAGAGCTGGCTGCCAGTGGGGAAGGGTCTCATCTGGAGATCCCTCCTTCTGGTGTTTTGTGGTGAGCCCAGCATAAGGGTAAGCCTTCCATTTATTCTCTCATGTTATCATAGTCCACTTCGCCTAGCTCTCTTGTTTATATTGTGATTGTAACATCTTGATATCCATTGCTTATACAGACTGCTTTTCCTAAGTGTGATTTTCCATCTTAACAAGAAGTTCCAATACACGAGAATGTTATGTTTCTGTGGACTGTAATAAGAGCTATAAACTAGCAGGGCCCTCAAAGACCATGCTGGGAAAAGAACAACACACTTAAAGTTAGAATGCCACAGAGTTCTCGGCTGATGCCAAGAGAGCTTCAGGGAAAACAATGTACGTATTTTTAACCAGCTTCTTAAAGTGGCAGAGAGAGATGTGGGGTTTATTACATGTGCTTTGGGAAGAGGCAGTGCTGCTGTGGGTCTGGTCTCAGAGGAGGATGTGGGAGGCTCAGGGCTGGAAGGGCTGCACTCGGTGAGGCCCCTGGGGGCAGATCAGGGAGAGCCTCTCTTCCCTGGGATGAAGTTTCTTGCAATGGCTCACGCTAACAAAATCACCCTTTTTGTTTCAGTGCCCGATGACCTGCTGCTGGGGTGAGTATCTTTTGCTTTGCTTTTTGTCCCAGTTCTGCCAAAGGACAGCTGGTAACCTGTTGTCAGTGCAGCACTGCTCTTTTTCCCTGTGTAACGCTTCTCGTGCAGAGTTGCTGAGTGCTCTTGCCTGTAGCAGGAATGAGGATATCTCAGGGGTTTTTCCACGTTTGTGAAAGGTATCACTGAATTTCCTGTGATGATGTGCCCTGATTTGGGTGGATAAAACATGCAGAAACCCAGGATGTTTAACCTGAGCTCTGAGTCCACCTTCAGATCCGTCATGAGTTTTCTGTGGCAGCAGGCTGTTTCGGTGATTCATGCCACTGGAGCAATGTATCTCCTCTATGTTCCTGTCACTGTGAGCACAGCAGCTTCCTGCCGTCCCCTCCTGTGTTTGAGTCATACGTATGTGTGATGGAAAGGGAAAGTTGAACTTTCCATCCCTCTGTACCAGGGAATTGTTACTTTGAAGATTACCTTGAGAGGTTTCCTCTGTAGGAATTCTCAGGTCGGCTTCAACACTCGTGCACTGATTGAAGCCTGTGAATAAGTCGTACCCAGGCAGAGCCAAGAACTCTGTTCCAGTCCTCACTGATTGGTGACAGAGGTAGAGAGAAGGCACCACTACAGTGAGAAAAGCTTTTCTTTCAAATCCTATTTAACTTTGTGTTCCTGCCTGCCTGTAGGTTAGCCGGGGGAGGAGATCACCAGGAACTCTTCAGGCCTTACTAATTTTGGGTGTGAGGTTACTTAATATAACAGTTGTGAAAGGTCTGCCTTTGGGGAGGTGTGTGCTGAGGCCTTCTGGACCACAGTGGCTTTTGAAGCGTGGGATTACATTTGACAACTCTCAACTTTTTGCTTCCTTCTTGTCATAAAAGTTAAGAGAAATTCCCTCGTTAAGTTTAGTAACACTGGGGTGGTAACTCTTGGCAGCTGAATTCCCATCAGTTTTCTGTAACCAAGGGATCTGAAGTGTTCTGATTTCACTTCTGAATCTCTTCCAAATATCTAAAGAACTTCAGTTTCCTTCAGGCATTCCCCTTGCTTATTTCCTGTTAGACTGATCAAATTATATACGTGAAAAAAGAATTCCCTCAAACTGAGTTACTGAAACTCATTGAACTCAGCCCCCTTCTATTCCCAAACCTAATCACTAAGGAATGTCTTACGTTGACGTTCCCCCACCCATCGCTGCTCAGCCCTTCAAGTGGGGCCAGTCCTTGTGCCTCGACTTTGTACAAGTGAAGTTGTGCTCTTCCTGGAATCAGTCTGTCTGCTTGGCTCCTCAGCAGTGAGGTTGACTCAGCCTCATAGGTCAGTCACACTGCTGGGACGGCTGTGCCTCAGCTCTTTGGCACTGTTTGAAGTGTTCCTCTCCTTTCTCCTGCTCATGTTTTGTACCATTGTTTCATGGCTGCTGATTCTCTTGTTGGTTACCTTTGCAACTAATCTAGACTGCACATTTTTTTCCTCAGTGAATAAAAGGTCTGTAAGGATTATCTCAGCTGCCCCTGGGCTCTTTGGAATGCTCTCAGAGCAGCTGGATGTGCAGCTCTACAATAATTTCAGGCTCATGAGCTGTCTGGACAATAGGCTGGAGGTACAGCTGTGTGGGTTTGACATGCAGCTTATCAGATGTTCTTCTCACCTACATGGCTAACGCTGCACTACAGTCAGAGGCTGAGGTACAAATCTCACTGCTGTGTCTCTGATGCACTTTGTCTCATTTTGGTTCAGGACAGGAACCACTGTATGTTCCATGGGAAAAAAAAAAAAATCCTAAAAATGCCTTGTAATTAAATCTGCATTGGGTTTTGCAGAGATGTGTCTTCCAGGAGCAGGGCTGTCATCTGGGCTGTCTCAGAGACAGGGTTGGCAGTCAGTGGTGAAAGCCAGCAAAGCTGAGAATGACGAATGGACACGTTGTTTGGTGGATAGTGGAGCTGTAACTGGTGGGATTTGGGGATGCAAAGGGACCCTTTGGCTATAGGCCTCCACAGGGCTAAGTCCTGTGGATTAAACTAGGTCAGGTGATCTCCTTTTGTGGCATGACCTAAACAGAGACACTTTTTCTTTCAGGCTGAAGTTCATATTTGGCCCATCTGCTGTCCCAGCTTTGGATTTGGTGGATCACCGTTCTGTCACCCGAGTTGTGTCCCCGAGTGGAAGGACTGCCTATCAGGTAAGCACTCTGTCTTTCTCCCGAGTTTCACTTTCTGATGTTTCCAGCTGACATTTTACTCAACTACTGACTGATCAGACAAACACAGAGTCAGTGTCTGCCTTACAAACCCTCAAGAGCTACTGGAGAGCAGTAGCCACGGGATGGAATGAGAACAGCATGTTGCCCTGCAGTTTCCTTTACAGCTCCTGATTAGGGACGGTTTCTGATTTGTTTGTGAGCTTTAGGGTCAGAGGGAGGTTTTCCAGGATTTGCTGATTTTGCTGCATTATTTTCATCCTATCCAGCAAAGGCAGTTCTTCCTCCTGATGAACTGTACACAATGGAGTGTTATCTGCAGTCACTGCATTTCTTTGCTCGTTGCACTCCAAATCCTCAGTGTCTCTGATACCAGTGACCTCCAATAGGATCCTTGCTGCCTGGAAGGAAGCAGTGAAGGCCAAGCCTGTGGCTTTCATTCCAGTTCACTGTAGTCAAGTCTGTGAATCACAGAAGCATCTTCATGAAATGGCAGTATAGACAGAAGAGCTCATCTTAGTCCTGAAGATGAAGCTCCTTGTACAGCACCGGACTGCAGGGCAGCTGGGGCTTCTCAGCTGAAGGAAAAGTCATTGGCACTTCTTTAAACCTTTGCTGGGAAACTGGGCCTGGGTAATGAAACAAGTATTTCTCATGTGTTCAGAGCTTGCATTGCTTACTTTGCGCATGGAATCTTCATCTCTTCTGGGAGCTTGGAGAGGACATCTGCTCCTCTAAAGAAGCATGATTCATAAACATACAGGATTCAAGAACACAGGCTTTAATCTGAGATGAGGGCTTGCCTGTGGGTTTTTGGTAAAGCCTAAGAAGCAGCTGCCTCAGTAATTGAATGCTTAAAGGTTGTTCTTTTTTTACTGTTTCTCAGTTGAATATGTCACTGAGCAGAAAATGATCACATTCTCTTTGCAGAGCTTTGTCAGGCCTCGTGGGCTAAAGTAAGAGTGTGGCAGGCAGGGATGTACAGTCATCACTTCCCCCTTTTTGTGTGGAGGACAAAGGGAACCACTTAGAGCCTCTGGTCATCTCAAGGAGCCCAAATGTATGCTCACGTACCCTTGGCTTTTCTGCATCGTGACGGAGTTATCTTAATCTCAAGAAGCTTAATACTCATTCCTGGGTGGAGGAAGCCCCTTGAGAAGGGAGAGATCAGAGGAGCATGGTGAGAGGGTTTTGATGTGCCACATTCTGCCCGGACAGCCTGTTGTGCTCTGGACAGGGCTGTTCTTAACGTGTGCTGCCTCAAGCAGCGTGTACTGCAGCAGGAGCCTAACTGATGCGTGCTAAAAAGGAGCCAGTGAGAGAAGTGCTGTCCTCCTGCCTCTGCAGGTGGAGGTTCCCTAGCAGAGGAGGAGCCCTTGGGCAGGTTGATCAGGGCTGGTCACCTGGAGCTAAAGCAAGACAGGCCTGGCCTTCAGCCTGGCACTGTGGTTATGGTGTGGGTGTCCAGCATCAGCCAGGTATGTGTCTGCATCCTCCGGGCTGATCCATGGCCTGCAGGAAATGTTCCCTGCTCACAGCTGTGCTGCTTCAGAGCAGCATTGCTCTTCACCCTGCTGATTAAGGCCACTCTGATGAGTTCATTTAGAGAAGAATTTGAAAAGCTATTTTCTCTGGAGGCGTGAGGCCGGTCCTATTGCAAAATTCTTCCTCAGCACATCTGTCTGAGATGCAGAAACAGAGCAGAGCCTTCCCCAGGGCCACTAGCTGGAGCTCTGACAGGAGCGCAGGCTGGGGCTGTAGAAACTGAAGCTCTGAGTGGGACACATGGTGGCTGGGTAATGTCATTGGCCCTCAGCTCGTGTCTGTGTGTGGTGCAGATCCCAGCTGCGTGCACTTCTCCCTCTGCAGAGAAGCACGCCCAGTGCAGTGGGGGCTGGGGGACGTCTGTGACTGCCTGCACATATCCATCCCACTGCCCTGAAAGCTCTGCCCTCCTGGCTGCGCCCAGATGTGGTTGAGCTGGAATGTGCCTTCACTGGCAGCTGGATCCAGGGAGCTCTGTTTGTTGTGGCCATAAGGTTGGTGCTGTTGTGAAACTCCTCTGGGTCCTCATAGCCAAATCTGAGATCTTGATACTTCACAGACTAAAATGCTATTTGTGTTCCATATCACCCAGCACATCTCGGGCACTGCTTCAGGGGAAAATGCCTCTGCTCAGACAAGCTTAAAGACTGCTTGTAGTTTGTAGTGTAGACAGCTTTTGCCCTCAGGAACTGAGATGGGAGTAGAAAAAGCCCTCATTTGAGTGAAAATTGATTTGTCTTTCAATGCCCAGGCATTAAAAAAAAAAAAAAGTAGCTCTTGCTACTTAATATGGGGATGGCACTGACTGGGTATTCAAAGGCTGTTACTTCACAGTTGGTAATCATCCTAGAAGGGCTTGTATAGTATCTGCCTATACTGCAGGCTAGAGCCAGCCCTGTGTATTCCTGATCAGGGATACGGCTGACCTGCTGCAGAGCAGCTGCTGCTGGCTGGTGTTGGAGCATGCTGGACGTTACGGGGTGAGCAGCAGTCGGGGCACACGTTGGCTCTGCCTAAATTGTGGAAAAGCTGTGATCTGCAGGAGTGAAGACAGCAGGGAGAGAATCTGTGCTCTCGCCCTGCCGCCAGCCGTCACTTCTGTTGCTCACATCCTGCTTTCTTCTTAAATATGTCTTTGAAAATTGATTTCCTAGAATTCTGTGGCAGCCTGCCCCATCATGAGGGTTGGAGCAGCAGGTCGTGGCACAGAATGTGGTGCTGCCTAGCAGTACAGAGAGGGCAGCACTAGCTGCCACAGGAGCAGAGCTGGCTCTACTGCATCCCCACACACAGGCAGGGGCACCTCTGAGGTGGTTTTTCCTCTCTCTGCATCCAGCAGGCACCTGGAGCTGAGAGCACAGGAGGAAATCTCACAGCATCTCAGGGCGAAGAAAGTCCCTCAGCGCCTGACTTGACCACAGCAGAGCAGAAACGGCACCTCTTCCTCTTGTTTTTTGGAGATTAGGTTCCTGCCTTATTAGGCAGAAGCTGTATTCTTGCCATCTAGATCAGAATGGGGGATCTCTAAGCTCAGCCCAAATCTGGCAGTCTGTGATTCCCCCCTCCCCCTGAAGGAAAACACTTTTGAAGAAAAAGCAGCATCAGAACACTTCATCTTGAAAAACAAAAATCAAAGGAGATGATAAAGTTATTACAAGTGAAACAAACTTAGCCTGGAGTATAAGGAAGGCCCAGGGTAAAGGCCAGGCTCTGTAAAAAGCCTGATTTCCCCTGAAATAATGATGTGGATCTCATGTCATGATCTGCCAGGAGTGATGAGGGATAGGAGGCAAAGGCATTTCTGTGGGAGAGCTCCAACCTGCAGACAACACCTGCAGGGCCAGGGCTGCAGTGAAATGCAGGGGATGGGGGAAGGCTCCTTTTGCAAACACAGTGTGAGGGCTGATGTTCTTCTGGAGTGATGTAAGAATGTTTGATACCTCCTGGAGGAGAGCAAAACTCTGCAGAACTGCGCTTTTTCCTTCATTAATTTAATCTTTGCATTTAAGGTATGGAGGGAATATGCCTCAGCACCAGCCCTGTGGAGGAGCTGCATGTGGTAAAATGAGGCAGTGCTGTTCCCAAACCAGAGATGAAGCAGGGAGGCTTCTTCTCTGGAGACTTGGGCTCTGTTTATTCAGACAAATCTAGATTCCAGCGGCTGCAGCTGTTCTGGGAACACAACAGCAGCCTCCAGTTCCTGGAGCTGGTTAGAAAAAGCCTCAGTGCAAGTGCTTACTGCTGTTTGCCCTTAGTCCCACTGTCATCAGTGGCCCTGAATTCACCCATGTGAATATGTGACAAAGAGTTTTGGTCATCTTTGACCATCCAGTGTCTACCAGTAAAGGGAAGAGGCTGGCTGGAGGGAAGCCAGGCAATTGGGATGGGGCTTAGTGCTTTGTGGCACTGCCCTTTTCCTCCAGACAAGACAGGATCTGAGGTCTGTTGGGAGCATGGGTCTACATACAGGAGTGTTTCTCTGCAGGAAGAGAAGTGCACAGAGGCATGGAAAGCTGAGGAGCTTTGAGCTCAGTGTGGATCTCTGCAGTGTTTGAAGCCCCTTTTGTATTGTGGCCCCTGCTTTCCTGCTGCGTGCTCTGAGTCTCTGGGGAGAGAGGACACTAGGGCAGATACAGGCTGAGATCAGACAGATTATCCCGAGCGCTCATCCTGAGTTCCCCCTACCCTCTGACTGCCTTTATTTCAGGTCCTTGGGAGCTCAGGCAAACTCTACACCTGCTACAGTTCCTGCCACTTCTGCACGTGTCCTGCTTTTGGTTTCACTGTACTGCAGAAGAGCGAGAGCCTTCTGGTAAGCTGTCTGCCTTAACGTGGGGAGCAGGGGAGATGGCCATGCTGATCTCTCCCCGCTGAGCCTAGGAAGGCTGACCTGGGCAGACTGGGGCTGCAGGCTGTGCCAGGGCTTGGTGTGACAAGAGGGAGCTGTGTTCCTGCAAGCTGAGGACTTCATTAGGTGCATTCTGGCCTGGGTGGTTTGCTGTGGCTTCCAGGTATAGCATGACATTTCTGTGTTGCTCTTGCTGTTAACTTTTCCATGCTGTTATTTGCAGTGCAAACATATACTTGCCGTCTACCTCAGCCAGGCCATGGGAGCCTGTCAGGAGCTGACTGTCTCTGAGGAGCAGCTCACAAGCATCTTACTGGCTGAGGAAGAGGATGAAGGATGAAGGACTCAGATCACATGCACATGTGATTTCCATGTACCTCCTGGCTGCATAGCCAGCATTTTTCTTGTCTACATGGCTGTCAAATGTCCATTGCGGCTGGTAGGCTTATTCTTGTGCTGTAATCAAGTATGGCTTAATTAGCAGCTTTGCACTGATACATAATAAATGGTAAGAAGCCTGTGCTGACTTCAGTTTCATTAAGCTATTCTTGGGATTTCTGAAGATGTTTGAAGCAGGTCTTGGATCTCTCAGGAACCAGCTCTGTGACTGCTGGTCCTGCTCTGAGGTTCACCTCCTCTCCAGGTAATGTGGATTTGTATGACACACCATGTGAACACAACACTGCGTAAAATGACTGCACACAGGCTGAGCCAGCTTGTGTAGGTGGTAGATTAAGCATTCTGTATGTAAATAACAAAGTTATGGCAAATACAAAATCCGAGCAATGTGAGGAAAACACATCCATCCTATGTACATCAGAGCAGTAAAGAGTGATAGCAGAGGGTCCACAGCTACACTCTACAGAAGGGTCCTCTGCTATTTTCACTTCACATTTTTATAGTAATGTTCAGAGCTTTTTCTGAGGAGGGGTGAGAGGGTGTCCTGTTTTTATTTTTCCTTGAAATGACTTTGGCTCAGATCCAGGAAGGCACTTCGTGTGCCTCAATGCCGTGGTGACCCAGGCCACAGTTATCAATGGCTGATAACTCGGTAGCACATTCACACAAAGGAAACAACCTGTCTGTCTATGGACTTCTGGCTCGTAAGTGGCATATGAAAGGTAGCAGTAGTGAGTGCCACTCTGCAGTGCTGTCACACGCAGGCAGTGTCCTGGGACTGGCTCTGTCTCTGCTCTGTGCTGTTAAGAGTTTGGTTCTTTTTCAGCCTGCATGAGGGGAGGGATTGAATGCTTTGTTGTAAGGATAAATGTGGCTTGCAACCACTTTGCAACTCTGCCAGACGTGCAGGTGAAACTCTACTTGTTTCTAGCCATGATTAAAGGAAGGAACACAGCCAAAGATAATAGTGAAGGGAAGGACTAAAAGGAGAGCCAAAGCCTGCCTAAATGGCAGGAGGTGGCTACATGTGTTAGCTGGATCGTGACCAAGGCAGATGCAGCAAAGCTGAATGGAGATAGTAAAAAAGAAATCCTTCAGACTAGCTTTAACTGTTCAGATTCATCTTGGAAATGCCAAGATAATGAGCCAAATGTGGGCATTGCACAGACCCCGTCAGAGCTCACTGGTGCTTCACCAAGCTTTGTGGCTGGCTTTGATGGTTCAGCTGCCTTACAGGAGCTGAATCCACCACTTCCAGCAAACTGGCCTCTGGGCGAGGTGAGCACTTGGAAGTAACTGAAAGTAAATAAAAAAGGTCCTGTGTTTCCATGGCCCTCGGTGGCTTCAGAGCAGAGCAGCCATGACGGCTGGGGCATATCTGCCTTCTGCATTTCAATAACGAGAAATCAAACCTGATGCGTTCAGCTGCACAAGTTAGTATGCACTATAGAACAAAGTGACTTAAAGGCGATAAAACTGCTGTTCTAAAACTTCAGGCAGCCCTTTCTCTGTTTTAGTGAGTAGGGCTCTCATTCTGAGGCCAAAAATATGGCCAGGTGTGATCTGTTTGCTGTCAGCACAGTCGTGTCCCTCAGAGCCTGGAACACAGATCAGGTTTCACACCAGCAACTGGGCTAAGACTTTTTCCCATCAGAGAATACTAGCTGCATCAAACAATTGATGGAATAATTAGAGTATTACCAAAGTGCTGTCAAGTATGAACAACCCAAAAAAACCCAGACACTAAACTATAACTCCTATCAATCATTAAAAAATAATAACATTAATTAAAATAAAGATCCGAGGACTTGACATGAGCAGCACAACTGGGGAAACACCCCCAGCAGGTGGGACTTCCACAGTCAGCACCTGACCTGGCAAGGAAGCACAGCACGGTCACCAGCGCTCACGCAGCCTGGTTAACAGTAGAGGGTGAACTGCACTCAGTCTCCCTGGTCAGGTTATCCCCCTAGGAGGCACCACGTAAATTACAAACATAAAAATACAGCTGCGGAACTGCATAGTGGTCACTGCTGAGCGCTCCCATCGAGCCGGCTGTATCTGCTCACATAGGCACAGGGAGGGTAGAGCTGGGGACAGGCTGGGAGCGGGACGTGCGAGGTCATATGGTCACCGAGGCGGCCGGAGCGTTCATGTTGGTGACGGTCAGGTGCTGGTTGTTGTCAGTGGAGCACTTGGGGAAGTCGTCCGTCTTGCAGAGGATCTTGGAAATGATCTTGCGGAAGGTGTAGCGGAAGTCCCTGATCCTGTAGGCGTAGATGATGGGGTTGATGACCGAGTTGGCATGTGAGAGGATGATGGCCATATACATCACCCACTCTGGCTTGGACTTGGAGAACTCCTCGTTGAAATGAGTGATGCAGTTCAAGATATGCAGGGGCAGCCAACAGAAGGCAAAAAGTCCTACGATGATGGCCAGAGACTTGGCTGCATGGACCTCCTTCTGCAGAGTGGTCCTGGAGTTGCCCATCAGCTCAATTTGATGCAGCTGCTTGCAGGCTACCATGAAGATCTTGATGTAGATTCCCAGCATGATGATGAGCGGAAGCAGCACGCAGCCGAAGAAGTTGAAGTACACCATGTAGCTCATAGTCACCACATTCTCAAAGAGACACGAGATGAAGCAGCCGTGGTGCCCTGCCCCGCTGTCAGCCCCTGTCTCGTTGGTGGAGTTGGGACAACCGCTCATGGCTTTGTTCCAGCCCATCAGCGGGGTCAGCCCGATCACAAAGGACAGGAGCCACAGCACAGCGATGAGTCCTCGCGCCCGCTTGCCGGTCACCAGGCTGTTGTACCTGCAGCATCAGAACCAGGACAGAGCCATTAACTAAAGGAGTGCTCGTGACTTCCCTGCAGTTCAAGTCATTAGCATTTTGGTGGAGGCCACAAAAGCCCCACGTGTACCCACAGGAACCTCACCTCTGTGATGGCCCCAGGGTACAAAATCTCACCTCTATGCCCACAAGGGGATCTGGGGAGCTGAGTCACGTACTGTTCCTGAGGGGTGCCCAGCACTGCCTTCAGCTGGAGGTAAGGACTGAGAGTTCTGAACAAGGCTTTGTCATTGTGTGAGCCTAACCCACCAGGAGGGCACAAAGCACTGCAGCCAGCACCTGGCTCCCAGCACAGGCATGCTCCAGCATGCTGCTGGGCTACCTGACCTGCAGGGCTGAGCTGCTGCTGGCTCTCACTTGCACGCTGTACTGGGCAGCTAAAACCTAACCAACATCACCACATGGTCTTATAGCCTCTGTACAACGGGCAGCTTGCTTCAGTTTGGGCTGTTCTTAGGCCTGCAGCAATGCTGGCTGACTGGAGATTGCCACAGTGCAGTAGTGTGATGTCTGTCCCTGTGCTACCTCGTACAGTAACGTGGGAAGCATCCGTGTCTCTGGAAACCACGGATCCTATTAGCTTCCCAAACAGGGCGATAGCTGGCTTACACATGCCAGGCTGCAGCCCACGCAAGTCTGTTGTGGCTGGATAACAAACGCCCTGGGAGACTGCTCCGAGCCAGCATCTGCTAATGATGGATTGCTCAGATTTAGAAGCCAGGGGTTGTGTCTCTATTCCGAGACTTGCATCCAGGCATGGAGCAGGGAGCCAGGAACACTGGGCTCTTCTCCCTCCGCCTGCCCTCCCATCAATGTGGACAGCTTCCCCCGGCCACCAGGGCTGCTCCTGTGTGGTTGCATAAAGCTGAATTTCTGAGCAAATGCTTTCCTCAGGTTCTCATGAGTTACAAAAAATTTCAGCCATGGCACAGGGTCAAGCTGGTGTGGTACTGAGGGGCACAGAGCCATGTGTTAACCCTACACCTCTCCTTATGCCAAATCCTGAGTTAGGAAAGCCAAATGCTCCCCCAAGCCCAGTTGCCCAGAGCAGTGAGAATAGCAGTAAGGGCAGGCAAGTTGGGTGCAATTAGAACAGACAGCAGCATCAAAGCGCTGCTCAGTTCTCTTTTTGGGGATACAAAGAGCTCAGTGAGTGCCAGAAAGACAACATGAGAAACCCATTATTGTCCCGTCCACTGCCAGCTAGCATCCACTGGCTGACATACGTGTCCCCCCTTCCCACACCCTCCTCTCAGTGCTTGTTTACTCTGGCTCCATTACTCTGCTCCTCCTTTCCTAAGAACGCTTGTTCTTATTTTCTTCCGGCCCGTGAGGCAGGGGAGGGTTGGATTCCCACAGACCCACAGCTGTGCATCTGAATCACGCTGCCGTCGCCTCCGTGCGCACGCGGCCATCCCCTGCTGGGAGCCACGGCCGCAGGCAGCAGCCCTGCACGGCTGCACACACACCAATGGAGCTCTCAGGGCAGGTCTGGGTGCCCTGCACCTTCCTCTCCTCATTATCCAGCACTGCTTCAGCTGAGAAGTTATCAGAGGGGGCAGCTGTGAGGCCCAGCCCTTTTTTTTCAAAGCCCTGTGCCTGCTTTCAGGAGCTCAACCTGCTCTGAAACTTGGTTTGATTAGAAGCAAAACCCCAGAAATCTTGGCAAGGTCAGAGCCTCAAGCCACCAATGGCAACAGCAGCAATGGCAATGGCAACTGCAAGGCCGAGCTCATCCCCATGCACACACAGCGTGAGCAGGCAGTGGGGAGCCGACGCATTTCCACAGCTCTGAACGCACCGCTAAATCCCTCCTTTGCTCTTTTAGGCTTAATATTATTAGGCAAGAAACAATTAAAGTAAATTTACTCGCTGAAGTCTGCTCAATTAATGGACAACAAATATTGAATCTCCTCTATGCTTCTGCCAAAAGGCATCAAGTGCTGCTTTAATGTAAATAACAGTTGAATATTTTAAAATGATTTATTGAGATTAAATAACCCAGCAATGCATTAGTTCCCTTCACACAGGCAGGCACAGTCTCTTTCCTGGCCTTATCAGTGTCAGACTGCTAAATACTCAGCTCCCGCCTGCTGCTGCCCATTGCACACTGGAGGAGCACCAGTGCCACCTCATCACTGGTACCTGTTCTCAAATAGTTGTACTGACACCAGAGGTGTGAAAGCCACATGGAGCTATTGAGTGTTTAAATGCTCCTCTTGTGTACAGAACACACTGCTGACGTTGCAGCATTACCTTTCTAATCAGGAGGAATTCCTCTAATGACAGAGTGCCATGGGGCTGCTGCTCCAAGCAGCCCGACAGGGACATCAGTGCCTGCTGCAAAGCAGAGCCAGGAGCATCCCAGCCCCTGTCCTACCCTTTGGGTCCCTGGTTGGGGCCATGCCTGCAGTGCTGTGCTGCATCCTCCCCATCTGCCTGTGCCCAGTGCCGGCTGCAGGGACACAAGCAGCTGGGAGCCACAGAACTCATCCTCTGCAGGTGCTCTAATACAAACACGTGGTGATAATTTACATGTTTCTATTTTAAGTGTGAAGAAAAACACACAGACACCTCCATTCACAAGGGTGAGGGCCTTCTGGCTGCCAAGCATTGTGTCCCTGTCATCCACTTGCAGCTGTACTTTGCATCACACTCCCTTTTTTTTTCAGCACCAGTGCTGTTGTGCTGCTTGAGATCACACACCGAACAGCACACCCTGGCAGGACATCTTAAATGAATCATAAATTGCACTTTAGAGGGAAGAAAGAAAAAAAGGAAAGGAGAAAGCAGTGCTGTCCAACCAGGAAGGAGTTGGCGGCGAGAATGAGAAATCTGATCGGCGTTACAGCATCGGCCGAGGAAGCCGGACATCTGCGCGTGTCCGCATCCAGTGGCAGACAAATCACTTCCTCCTGCATCTGTCCCTATTGTGCACATGGGAAGGCAGCAGCATCCCCCGCTCATGCTCTCGGCCTTCCTGCCGGGTATATGGGGCTGGGGGGCACAGTGAGGGCAGCCAACAGTGAGCGCTGTGCCGACTGTGTGCCTATGGGTGGCAGTTGGCATTGCAGCATCCTTGAGCCCGGCTTCAGCACCCTCCCAGCCATCTTGGGGGTGTTGCTATCAGCCCCTCCATGCCTGGGGATGAGGATTTCTCTCATTCCCAGCCCCCAGGCACGCCTTGTGGTGCAGAAGGGAGATAGGAGCTGCGGCTGTGTCAGTGCAAACCCGTGTATAGGGCACTGGTGCAACCCCTCCCACGCATGGGAGCCCTGTGCACGCAGATAGCGGATAAGGGCAAGGTGGTGGGTGGCAGTGAGATCACTTCTTGTGTAGCACAGCAGGCACCAGGGCCCTCAGCAGCGCAGGGTGAGGATGTGGCCATCGCTGTCCCTTGTCCCCTGCAGAACGGGGGTACAGCAGCTCCCCTGCTCCTCAGCACCTGATTGCTTTCCCAGCACCAGACGGTGCTCACAGGGCGCAGCCACACCCCAGGAACACAACGCAGGATGTGGGTTATTTGTGGCTCATGGCAGGCCCGAAGTCATCAGTGGGATTACAGGGGGATAATCCGCTCTTTGGCGCGTGCAAATTCCCTGAGCCCCGCCGGCCTTCGGCAGGCTCTGGGAGCAGATGGGGACGGCACAGCTGGCAGCACTGACCCTGCATGAAGCTCCGCTGGAGCCTCACATCCCACTGCAGAGTGACTGCCATCAGGGTCAGGGCAGCACGGCCCTGAGAGACAGCACAAAAATTAACACAATATTGGGGTTTTTATAACAGATTGAGCTGACCTGAGCTGAAAGAAGCCCTGGACAATCCCAAGGCTCCTTTTCCTGGCTCAGCCCAGCTCCATGCCCCAAACCACAGCCTGGAAGCAGCTGTGTGCTCCCTGACATCCCTGCTGCCCCCACAGCTGCTCCAGAAGTGCAGAGGTCCTGGGGACAATTCACATCCTGTCGGGATTTTGGTTTTTGCCAGGGAGGGAAATGACCCCTGAGGTGCAGGAAAAATAGAAAAAATTGGGACATATTTTAGGAAATCAGACTGCTCACACCTAAAAATAGCTGCTATTTCCCCCCTGCACTGGGCACACTTCTGGCCTGCTGCGTGCTGAGGTTATAAACCAGCAGTAATAGTGCTGGTCACCAATGGGATGGGCAGGAGACTTAGAGGCACTGCAGGGCAGCACTGATGGGCATAGGGACAGCAGGACAAGGGGCAGCCAAAAGCTGTGTGTCCTGGGGAGAAAGGAGCTGGGAAGGGGCTCAGGGCTGTGGCCACACATGCAGGAATGGTGCAGGGGGGCTCCTCAGGAAATAGTAAATTTGTGAAACAAACAAATAAAAAATAGAGTTTCAAGGGACAGAAAGAATTCATGACTTTGTGGCCAAATTAAGCAAATATTTTTAGCCAGACGAGGGAGGGTTCCAAAGAACCAGTATGAGATTCAACAAAACAGTTGTTTTGCTGCACTCTAGGTGGGGGCCCATCAGCTCCTTCCTATGTGCCTCCATTTCAGAAAGCAGCAGCAGAAGGGCCAAGCAGCCCAAATGCGATCTGCACAGTCGGTTGGGACCCTATGTTTCTCTGCCACCCCCAGCCACTGCTGCTTCAGTCAGACTGAAGTAATTTGCCTCTTCTCCCATGGGATTTCTCGGTTCAGCCAAAGAACTGAAAAATCCATTACAAGCTTGGCTGCAACGCACAGCCCTGCCCGCAGCCCTGCCTGGCCTCTGTGGGCTGAAACATCCCTTAAATAATACTGAATTATGCGTCAGGCTCCGTCCTCAGCATCCCCGCACAGGTTACCAGAGGGAATGCGGGGTGCTGAGCTCAGGTGATGCAGGCTGCAGCTGGGCACCAACCTGTGCTGCACAAACACAGCCTTTCAGCACAGTCTCTAAAACTGCTGCTGCTGAGGCACTGCCCTGTTCCCATCCTTGTAATGGGGTTTTACTGCTTTCACCCTACCCGGAGGGGCTCTGTGCTGTCAAAGCCCACTCCAAGAGCCTCAGTGCCAACAGGTGGATCAGGTGCCGAAGCATTGCCCAGACAGACAGAGTCCTGTGCTGGAGGCTGGGAGCTCAGCAGCCAGAGCCAGAGCTGAGCCCTGCTGCCCCCGTACAACACTCCGTATCCTATGGAATTTCCACACTCTGGTGACACACAGCCACTCAGGATACATGCAATTCCATCACCCAGTTTTATTGTCTGCCCGATGACTAATTAAAATTTGCCCCACATGTGGGAGTTCTGTGCTGCAAGGTGCCAGAAGAGGGTGGGTGGGTGGGGTCCTCTAAGTCACTTTAGGATGAATTCATCAGTGGTGCAGAGGAGCTAGAGGTGAGCAGAGCCCAGGAAAGCTGCAGCTGGCGTGGTTCAGCTGAGGTCCCTGTGCTGGAGCTGCCCTGACCATACCAACACTGCTGGCAGTCCCAGTGCTCCTGGGGCTTACGGGGCTGCATCGATGTCTGTTCTGGGGGAGGGACAGTGGAGACAGGAGAGCAGGCTGGTAGACTCAGGTCAGTCATGTTACAGACTCTGGAGTTTTGGTGCACTTAGCACTTGTAAAATATATTTCGCACACTTTCCCAGTGCATTGCAATGAATTAGAAGGAAGCCAATTGCTGGCCTTGAAACCACGCTTGGATAAAAACATGAACTGCGTGTTTCTGAAAACCACACAGTGGTTTCTGACCCCCCTGCTGCTCTCCCCTCACAGCACGCTGCACAGCTGACAGCTCCTGATATTTCCTGGTGTGCATACTCGGAAGGAACAGGCTCGTGTGTAAGTACAGAAACGCACTTACAGCACCCAACACTTGCTGCAACAAACTGCACTTTCTGTTTATTACATCCCCTCTAAAACTTGGAAGAAGCCTCGTTAGCTCTAGTCCATGTTAACGACTTGAAGCATGCACAGTGTCATAGCAGATCCTAGGGCTCCATTTCAGCCTTGCTGAAGGTATCATGACCCCGGCTGGGAGCAGCCTGCACAGCTGCTCTTATGCTTAATGACCCAGAGAAGCCCAGATAGCACAGGAATGGGGGCTGTACGAATACCTCCATAGATGAGCTGGAGCTGTCCCTCACTACCGCACTGCTGTGGAGCCACTGCCAACCCACCCAAGGCAAATAACTTCCAGAAACTGAGCCCACAATTATATCTCTGATTAAGAGATGAGACGCTGACAACCTGATCCCAGAGCAAGTGATGGCAAATCACTGACACTTTCACTATCATCACCTTTGGGCGGCAGACCACACGGTATTGTGAGAGAGAGGAAGTTCCCACGAGTCAGGTGGGATGGGGCAGCTGCAAGGTGTGAGGACTCTTACCTCAGGGGGATCTTGATGGCCAGGTACCGGTCGATGGCCACCGCCAGCAGGCTGAAGATGGAGCTTTGGGTCAGCACCAGCACGAAGCAGGCGAAGAAGAGGCAGCTGTGAAAATCCACCTGGAAACCGATGCTGATGGTGATGGCAAAGGGGATTGCCAGCAAACCCACGGCGATATCAGCCACCGCCAGAGACACCAGGAAATAGTTGGTCGCGTTCTTCAAGGTGCTGTTGATGGCCACGGCCCAGCACACCAGGACGTTGCCAGCGATGGACAGCACGGCGATGATGAGTTCCAGCACGATGTAGGTGGTTTTCATAGTGTTCATGGCGAGAGCCCAGGGCGAGGAGCTCGAAAGGTTCACAAGCAGAAGGGACTTTCCGCCACAGGTACCGGCAGGCCACGGGGCAGCGGCTCCCGGAGCCCAATTCCCATGTCCGGCCCCACCGATGGGGCCGTGGGGGGCCGCAGGGGCGCGCCGAGCCCCGCGCCTCGGCCCCCCGCTGCCCGCAGCCCCCGTCCCCCGGGGGGCATCCGAGCTTCGCCGGCAGCGATCACCGCCCGCCCTCCACCGCGGGGCCCGGCCGCCGCGGGGCCATCGGGGCCGGTCGGGACGGGATGGATCGGGACGGGAAGGGACGGGACGGGACGGTCCCTCCGCTCCGCCCGGGGATGCTCCGCCGCCGCCCGCTCGCCCCGCTCCCTGCGGAAACCGCCGCCGCGGCTATTTCTGCACATGGGGCGAACGGAGCGGGGCGGGGAGTGTGCGGAGCGGCCACGATTGGCCGAGGCGGGCGGGCCCGGGCCGGCACCCCCGCACCTCTCCTCTCCTCTCCGCGCCGCGCCGCTCCGCCCGGCCGCTGCCCCCGCCCGCCCCGCAGGTGCCCCGAGCAGAAAGTTCCCCGCGGCGTTCAGCACCGCGCTTCTCCCGCACCGTATTGCTAAGAGCGTTGGGACACCGCCGTGCGATGTTGCCACACGGAGAAAAATCCCCGCGATGAGCTGGGAAAAAAAAAAAAAAAAAAAAAGAGAACTATTTCATAAATCATGACAGCACTTCGTCTGCGGACGGTTATCACACAACGTAACGTTCCCTGACGTAAGAAGTGGCAAAACATAACGGTTACCAAAGCTGAGTGTTACTCACAGGGCTGGAGAGGCTGAGTGTGGGGCTACAGAGCGCGGAATGCACCAAAACCTGAGGGAATCGCCAAAGCAAAGGGGCTGCTTGCAGCAGGGGGGCTGAAATACAGCACCTATCCAATAACACCTTTCCATTGCTCTGTATGCTGTGTTTGCCATCAAAACGCAGCCAGAGCTGGGGCTGAGCAAAGAGAATTGCTGGGATCGTTACCTCCTGCCTGTTGGCTGAGCACTACTGGATGCCACAAAACTGCACTGATGTTCGACCTCAGGTCTGGCCATTGCAAACAGAAAGTAAAAGAAACTGCAGTTGCTTTTTTAAAACAAACTCTGGAAGAAAAACCTGTGGGAAGGAAAGCTTTCTGGGGATCCAAAGCTGAAGCAAAAGAAAAACACATGGGAAAAAATACTATTTAAATGCTTATTTTGTGGAGGGAATAGAAATTATCCCATGTGCTTCAGGTCCTCCCCAGCCCTGCCTGGGTCCTGAACCTGCCTGCACCGGTTTGGTTTATTTATTATTTGGGGATAAGCGGAGCTCCGCTCGTGGGGAGGCTGGTATAATCATGTAAACAAAGGTTAACAGTTGGGGAAAAGCACTTTTTACCCCAAAGCAATGGATCTACATCAGGGTTTTTACATGCTATTTTCCTAGCTCTATACTATGTGCCAACAGAAGCCTGTTGCTGCTTTACAGCACTTCAGTGCAAGGGAAAGGGACTTCTTTGCGTGTCATTAGGGAAGAATCTGCTGTGGTGACCATGGAAGCACTTCTTACAGGCTGATCCCATGGAAATTTTGGTTTACCAAGTCAGATGTGAACAGAGCAGCAGTCCGTTGCAGACCGTGATGAATGGGCTGTTCCTGACAAGGAGGTCTGCAAGGCAGGTAGCAAAGCACTTTGAACATTGTGGATTTTGCATTATGCTGAGATTCATGGCCCTGCAATGCACAGAAACCTCTGCCAAGGCCCGGTGGTTTCTTTTGGCATTAACTGATGCAGCTGAACTCACTCCGAACACAACTTTGCTGCAAGCGTGGCCAAAGAGAAGCGTGCTGAGCTCTGCTATACAAATGCAGTTAAACCTGCAGGCAGGAGAGCAGGATGAGCCGCTTCCCAGCCAGAGATATGCAGCTCCCAGCCCGTGCCCTCTGGCCGCATTCTTTGAACCCTGTTTTAAGAAGTATAGCACCATAGAATCTACCACCAAACACCACTAGAGCATGCTGGCCTTGTAAAGCAACCAGCTGAGCAGGCGCTGTGAAACTCATTCCTGTGGCTGTGAGGATGATGGTCCTTAGATGAAAATGTGTGCAGTGTGCGTTTGTATACAGGAGTCCATAAGCAATCCTTATGGGTTCCTTCCAACTCAGGATACTCTGTGATTCTAAGGCAGCCCACAGGCTACAGAATCTATCCAAGAGCTGGAGCACATTAAGAGCAGAGCACTGTTTGGCACAAAGATGCCACTGAGTGTCAAGTAAATCATCACCACCATTACTTTCCTGGATTTATTCAACTCCAGGGACTTGCTGCTCAGTGCTCCCATAGGAAGCGACACCAGTGGTGAGCTGCTCCTTTCAAGTGCCAGCACAACTCGAGCTCCTTTGTTCAGAGGGAAGCAGCTTTAAACACGTGCTGAGTGTGATACAGTGGGAGACAACCCCAGCAGCCTGCTGGGCTACGGCTTGGCAGAGGCTTGCAGCTCGTACGTGCTGTTCCTCTGTCGCTGTGCTCCCAGGGGAGCAGAGCCGCCATGCTGGAGGCAGCTTCCTGCGGCCGCTGTGATCTTTTGTGCAAGGCTCAAGTTGAGGGCTGCCCTGGCTGTCTCTGTTTTGACACCTTCAGGGCTCTCAGCCCTGCCACGTGGCTTAGTGAGCCCTCGGGCCTGTAGACAGCACCACACCTGCTGCCTGAGCAGTCCCTGGATGGCAGCACGCAGCCTCTTGCTCCTTGCTGAGCATGCAAGTTTGATGACCAAGGAGGCCCAGAGGTTCTTTCTCCCTCCAGCCTCCAGCACAGACCTCCAAACACACACGCACCTCCTGGGGAGAAATGTTCCTAATCTCTTTGAACTGCTTGCATTGGCCAGGGAGAATGACCAGTGACAGATCCGTGGAGATGCGGTACCTATGGACATGGTCTAGAGGGCAAAACTGGTGTTAGGCAGATGCTTGGACTAGATGGTCCTAGAGGTCGTTTTGAACCTTAATGGTTCTGTGAGGCTGTGTCTGACTGCTTGCCATCAGCCCGGGAGAACTGGCACAGCCTTCTGAATTGAGGCCCCACTGCTTCTCAAGTCTCCACTGGCACTTCTGAACTGCTCTGCAGGACAAGACACAGCTTGTCCCGATCTTGGCTCCAAGGAAGGATTCCCAAGGCATAATATAACCTGCAAACCACGCAGCTGGTGCAAAAGTCCTCTTCAAAGTGGTGCTTCCACTGGCAGTGTGAGCTGCATGCTGCCTGCACGAGCTGGGTGAAGGAAACTCCATTTCTGAGGGCAATATGGTGTGCAGCAGGTGAAGCGTCGCTCTGCCCCGAATATTCATTGCCTGCATCTCTGCACTGAGTATTAGTGTGCCAAAGATCCAGACGAGCTCTGAAGTTATGGAGGTGCATGGTGCAAGGTGAGGTTTGCCCTGTATGGCTGTGGGTGTTTTTCCTGAAGAGAAGGGAAAGCGTAAAGCATAGAGCAAATCTCCAGAGAAAACTATTTCCATGCTGGAGACCTCAGTAAGTCTGCAAAGCACTTGAGAGATGAAACAAAAAATTATGGCAAGATTGTAAACTGCAGATCAACAACCCTAGGTTTTCCAAGATCTGGGGTCACTGCCAGATAATAAACGTAAATTATTCTGGAATGTAAAACCAGTGCCTAAATTACCTGCATCCTGCAACAATGCAGGTGTGTGAGTTCTTTATAAATGGTGAGTTGTATCTTACACTTTTCATTAGAAAACAAAAAAGTGACCACAAAACTGAAAAATAAAAATAAACTATTAAGAGCAGAGAAGTTAAAAAGGCAGGATTTTGGCTGAGCAGAGGGCCAAGCAGTGAGGACAGCATTTTAAAGAATGTTTTAATTTATCTCTGATTTTACTTATTAAGCACCTTGTATGATGCAAAGCCAAGCACCCTTCTCAGCAGTAGTCCTAAGTGAAAGCTGCAGCTTCTCCAGAAGTGCATGAAGCCACACAGGGCTGGCAGGGTGCGGGTTGCCTCACTTGTGCTGAGGGTACAGCAACTTCCCCAGAGAAATCCGTAGGAAGTGTCGTTTTGTTTCCAGGCCAACACCAGCAGTGGAAAGCCCAGGGTGAAGCAGGACAGGCAGTGATGCCGTTTGCAATTCAAACAACTCAAGATTGCCTCATTCACAGCCAGCGCTTCCTGGGCAAAGCCTTCACAGCTTCTTGCCCCTAACAACACAGCCGTGCTAAATGTCTGCTCCAGGAGTGTAACTCAGAAGTTTGCTCTCCATCAACACTTCACAGGAACAATAAGGAGAAGTGATTCTGCTCCTTGCCAAACTCTGACAGGGCACGGAAATTCGCTCTCACACCACAGATCAAAGCTGCTCAGCTTTATGCAAAAATGGGACATTTGAGTTCCAACTGAACAGACTGAGGAGGCTTGAATTAATGCAACACAGCCATCCTGAATAGAGAAGCCCATTATGTTCCAAGTCCCATGAGACCTTAGAGCCATCCTTTGCCTCTAATTCCCATTCTCCTTTCACAGACAGACCCATGCAGCCTCTAATGAGTAAAAAGGTGCCTTAGTTGTGACACAGTGAAACCTGCAGGATACACACCAAAAATCAGGTCAGGCAATGTGGAGGAAGTACCACAGCCTTCCTGTCTAACTGTCTCAGCATAGCAAAGAGTGAATTTGTGCTCAAAACCTGTTTGATTCCAAGTATCTTTACCACAGCCCCTGTTGTGCTCCTCCATTACAAAAAGAATTTCTTGGGATGTGCCCAGCACGGGAGGGTCCTGCCCTTGGAGGGATGGTGACACACTGAATGCCACCTTCCTTCAGAGTCTGGGCACCAGTATACAGAAACGTCACTTCCTTTGGATCCTGTTTGTGCACTTGCAAAAGCAAGACATAAACCTGCTGCTAAACACCTTCAGAACACAGTAACTTAATGTCCATTACGCATGACTTTTCAGACCCTCATTTAATTGCTCAGAAAGCACTGTCTTAATCCCAGGTGAAGGGGAGAACCTGGAACATGGAGCAGCGTGTTCTTTATTACTGGTATTATGAGTCCCTTTGCAAAGCTTCAAATGAACTCT